ACCTGTTCCTATACAAACTTTAACACCAAATTTAAAAGGTTAGATACCCTAACTTACTCCGTTTTAGGGGTTGTGTTGAAAAACCCCGAAATACATGTTTATTTATTTTATATTTAAAATCTACAAATCTACTTTCAAGTAAATAGCATCCCGCGGTTTTTTTTCCATAATATAAGTTTCCATACCAATTATAATAATAATACCGTATATTTAATGGTTTACCACTTTCTTTGTAGAATATTTGTGCAGTTCGATGTTTATAATTTTCTAGGAAATACAGTTATTGCTCGGTTATATACATAGACTAGAAATGAAAAGACGATTGTCGAAGTCATCATTTTTACATTCAAACGTTTGCTTTTATGAATATTGTTATCATAATACAACCTTTTTTAGCATTCCTCTAAACGTGTATTAATGTCACATTATATTTTCAACAGATTTATTATTATCATCTAAATGTTAACCAAATAAACATATATCGAAACCAAAACTCTAATGACACATATCTCCGATTTCCTGTTACACGTCACTGTAACGGAACGAAGCCTAAAAAGCTTGTTTTGGTTTATCCAGGTCAGTAATGCTGAGTTTAAACAAGAACCAGTTGCCTGACGGTCATGGCCGTTAGTTCATTCACCTGACACGTCTCTCACTTACGCGAAGATATCAGTTTCTTAAGTTGCATTGATGATTTTGTTCAGTTTTATGTTACGCTTTTCTGTACTGACGTCTTCAGTGTACGTTGAATAGTTAGGATTTTTGAAATTTTGTAGTGGTATTTGGTATCAGTTTTCTTTTGGTCTTTTTGCTTTTTTTCCATTTTATGTTTGCCGTCCTATATTTACTACTTTATAAATCAAGGATTACTGATTTAATGTAATTTAAATTGTGCTTGTGCCATCAGTTTTAGTTATAGAGCTCCTTGTTAAAGAGTTCGTCCAAGGTAGTACTGTCACTTTACCTATTTCTGCCGCCAAGCAGTAATGTCAGCATTACTGTGTTCCGGTTTTGAAGAGTAAGGGTGCTGGTGACATTACAGGCACATGGGTCTTGTCAACTTGTGTCTCAAGGTGACGGGCGCAGAGGCAGTGCCCCTCAGATTTTTGCGATTTAAAGCTCTGAGAGGCACCGCAACTGTTATGCACAGGCGTGTAGCTTATCATCAGGCGCACGACTAGTTCGTCCCGTCACTTGATACCATAAAAAAAAATATAGCGCATGCGCAACTTTTTGGTATAGATCAGTAGCAATATATTACCTAAAAAGACTTTATATAGGTATACCTAACAAGGAATAAAGGATAACAATAAATAATCAATTAATAATTTGGCTATGTAAGAATAATCAATAATGTGAATAACAATGTAAGGTTCATATTTTGGGTTCGAAGTGATAATACTTATTATTGATAATTATCACGATAATAATCTTGATAAATGTATCCTGACTATATTATTGTAACACGTGTTACATATTATTATATATATTATATATGGTATATTATTGTGATACGTCTCTAATATAAACACTATATCAGAGACGTATCCAAGAGTGACAAATGTCAATCTCAAAAAAGTCTCAAACCAATAATCAGTGTTCCCAAAAATTTTTGCAATTTACTAGTCAAAAATTGAAGAGATAATCTCAGTACAGAGTACTAAAAAACTGTCCTCAAAAGTCATTCATCCTGTAGTTTGCCACCCTTAGAGATGGAATATTTTCTTCAAATTTAAATGGGACTATTTCTGAGGTACCCTCTTTCCAACAAAACAATCGGTTCACAAGTATCGTAACATACAAAAAACATACAGTCGAATTGAGAACCTCCTCCTTTTTTGAAGTCGGTCAACAAATCTATATATTAGCATGGATGATTATCGGATAATTATAATGATTATTATCAAAGAAAATAAATGTGTTAATAATTTCGAACCCCGGTATTTTTATTAGACTTATTTTAAACGTAAATAAATAATAACAATGTTAATTATGTTGCAATACCGTAACAGAGTTTATGTTCCTTCGTCCTTAGCTTGCATATTGTATTTGTTTTGCATTTTAATATTTATTCAAATCCGTCCAAGAAAAAACCCACATAAAGATGGAAGTTGGTTTTATACGAAAGCCGCAAGCGCGTTTCAAATATTAATGTTTCTGATTCATTATAAAACATTCTTTTCGTAATATTCATACCCGATCCATCTCCATATTTACATATTCTTTCTCATTAGTTTTTGCATTGTCAGTATTATTCTATTTTCGTTGAAATTCAATCAAAGTATTACCGATCCTAAAACCATCATAACCAAAATCAATATAATTCTATTTCATTTCTTCTTTTTGTATCGGTGGCATACATTATAATGCTTACCAAAGTACTGGCTGTTTATTGCCTAGGATGCGCCAGATATACAAGAAAGGAGTGGTCCGTGGTGGGAGGAGACTTCCCTCTTGCACCCATACACACTTGTCGCAATTTCACCGTGTCGCAGCATTTTTAGCAAAGGACAACAAGATTTGTTTGGTATTTTGCAATTATTCATGTTAATAACATGAAAAGACACATTTAACTTATTTCGTATATTACATACCTAGTCATTATAATTGTACTTTCCAAAATAAGATTCTTTTTTTATGATACTAAGTGCAGGGACGAACAAGTGGTGAGCCTGGTAGATAATGATTTGCCTGTCCTAACAGTTGCCAGGGCACTCAGAGTTTTAAATAGCACATGATTAGGGTGACGGGAACAGTGGTGGTGCTCCATGTGTCTGTAATTTCACCAGCACCCTTACCCGTCACAACCGGAACGAAGTAATGCTCATATTACTGCTTAGCGGCCGAAATAGGTAAGGTGGCAGCAGTTCCTTGCACAACGAACTCTTTTACAAGGAGTTGTACTGTTGCTAATTTAAGATTATATTCGAAATGAATAAATTGGTTTAGCGTGGATGATAACCAGCAAATTCTTATTGTAATTACAAAACACTGTATTGAGACTTGCGATGTTTTCATTTGAAAAGGAAGTGTTTTTCAAAAATTGCCCGCTACTAACATTGACTTACAATTAATTATATGGACGTCGGGTTCGCGCTAAAAAGTGTCCGAACTTATAGGGCGTTAAAATCGTATACAGAGCGTCATTCACGCTTTAGTCTTCGTTTGTTCGACTGACAGCGAAGCAAGCAAAATTAGACAGTACTGCGATGACATTACAATTTAAATTCTACGTTTTAGCTTTTACATATTCCTTTACATGTCACTACGTTTAAATAGGTTGACTTGGGACATTTTTTTTTCGTGGTTTTTGTATTAGAACCGTCGTCCATTTATTTGTAAGTCAATGGCTACTAATAACCTTTTTATAATAAAAATTACCTCAAAAGTTCGTGGAACTACGTGCATTTGCCAAGTTTTATAGAAATCGGTTACCTGAAAGTTGTAGTAGTTTGAAACCCTTGGTGTTGGAATATTTTTTTCAAGTTTAACCACTGAGGTTCCAATAAAAAAAGAATCATCAAAATCGGTTCCCAAATGCTTAGTAATCGCTTAACATACATACAAAAAAAATACAGATCTCAATTCGAGAACCTTTTCCTTTACTGAAGTCGGTTAAAAAGTGGACTTTTATAATTTATTAGAAAAATTTCATCGCGAATAAGGCATCAAGCTTTCCATTAAATAATGACGTGACTACTTTGAACGATTAGGCGGATAGGCATTACAAATTGAAGTGTTTTTATGTTATAAATATTACTAAACATAATATACACTATTATAAATATCGATATAATAAGTCGATTATATTAGTCTATAATAATATTTATCTTACATAAAATTAATCGTGAATGGGAAAGGGCTTTCGTTTCCATAAGATTAGATAGATTTGCGTGACAATTACACCATATACTTAGAAAAAAATCAAGTTCCTGAAGAATGTTTTTGATGTAGATTACTATTCTAGAAGACTATTGACATAGTCTATTACGGTATTCATTTATTTCCATAAAGAATATTTTTTCAACGGCCTGTTTCTATAATATAACGTCCATAACATCTCTGTTAGTATTTATATAAGTATAACTTTGGTTCCACGGTCCTAACGGTGTGTTTGCCTCACATCTTAGGTTAACGACGAGTTAACGGATTTCTTCTTCACGTCCAATGGATTACCGGTTTTCGATTTTATTTCTTTACCTTTCACCGAAATCGATAACAATTGTGTATTCATTGATAGATATATTTTAAAATTTAATAATGCATATACTGTTCCTTCGGAAACAAATAAAGAGGTGTTTGTATTTATGATAACAAACAACTTTGACCATGAGGAACTCAGATCGAGTAAACAGCTGTTTAAGGTATTTCCTGCCTCCAACAGTGTTTCGAGCTCATACAATCCGAGTATTTCTAAGGTGCAACTGAATACAAATAATAGAAGATTTGAGTGATCGCGATCCATCGTAGATGTTACCTTTGCTCCAGGAATAGGTAGTCTAGAGCAAGTCCATTTCCTTAAAAAATACACTTACTTTATGTACCTATTAACGAAAATATAGATAAGTAGGTATCTATGTTTAACACCCTCCACATTTACGAAACCATATGAGACTGTTTGTTAGTTTATCTTCGTCATATATGCTTTAACAATTATCATTACTTAGAGGTGTCTTATCATGGAACAGTAGTATCGATATCTACACGAAACCAGTTCCCAATCCACATTTTGCCACAGTGGCGGACTGTGGGCTTAAACTCTCGCCCCATAGAGGAGATCCGTGCGTAGCAGTGGGAGGTGGAAAAACTTGAAACTAGTGATAATTGTTAAATAAATAATGACAAAAGCTTTAAATTTATACTTTAACAAAGTTATCGATCAGTACAAAGTTTCGCAAAAAAATTTTCTAGACAAGAAGTATAATTGTCACAACAGCTATTAGTATATTGGTAGTATTCTCGAATAATGTTTATTAACCTGCAATTTTCTTTCTTTACAGGTAAATTTCGTGTTCATCATGACGCGGCGAAAAAGTGTGTGCTTAAAGTGGACTTTGGTTTTATTCGTAGTTGTTGTTTGTCCGTTAGTTCATTCGCGACCTCAAGAAGCTCCGACAGCGATCATCAGTTCTTCAACAAATAGTGTTCAAACAGATATAGCTACAGAGAATCCTATAAGGTATAGATTTAGGCATAGCAACTTAGATTTAGCATTTAATAACTCAGTCATTGATTCTGTAAATCCTCAATATAACACCTTCGGTTCAAATCGTTTCGAACATAGCATAAATGCTACTAAGAATCTTAAGTCCTTTTATATATTCGAGCCTTCACAAAATGAGTCATCAAATTTATCTAGTAGACAAAGTCGTATAATAAAAAGAATTTACAGCAACACTAATGACATAGTGAAACCATCTTTTCCGAATAGGAAAAATGATCAGAGACCCATACGCGATAAACAAGTTTCCATAACAAATCGAAAGCCAATAATCAGGAAGGTTATAACAAAATGGACAGATAAGACAAAATACGAAGATATCACTCTGTCTTATGAAACTTCAACATCAGATGAAAATGATGATTCTATGGCATTTACAACTTCAGGGAGTATAGAAGAGGACGCCAGTGCAGAAATTATTGTAGATGAAGAAACACCTGCGAAAAAACATCCCATTTCACATTATCCAAATAAATTCTTTAATAAATTGGACACCACTAAATATTACGCTACTCCACAAAGTTCTGAAGAGACCGTTATTGTACATTCTAATAAAGTTCATATCATGGAATATCCTTTTCCTAGTGTTCGGCCTTCTTATATATATACAACACCCACACCTACGCCAATTATCACAAATGTGGGAAATCCAAAGCCGTGGCCGCAAAAATTGCAAACCGTACATCGCAGGCCAACGACTCAGAAGCCTGTTCGCGTGACCAAACCGTTAAAGAACCAATATAACTATCATAATTCAGTCCATAATAATTACCCACAGTCATCTGTTGACAATTTTGAGGTCACAACTTTCCAACCGTCGTACACTGAACGTATCGTAATAAGACCGGAAGAATATAGCGCGCCGTCTCAGGACTGTCCTACCATATACTTGACATTAAACAATACCTTTCAAGGTCAAGGGAAAGAAGCATGCCCTGATTTGAATATAGCCGTAAATACGAATGTAGTTAACAAAAATGTTGTTGTTGAATCTGAAGAGGAAGATGCTGAAAGTTTGTTTTCTGGTGGTTTTGGTCTTCCAGATGATTCAGCTAACGATTCCGGTGATGAAGGTACTCCATTGGCAGATTACTTTGATTCTGAGGAAAATGAAAATCAAGTTGAAAGCGCCTCAATAGAAGCTACGGAGTTTTCTAATCTTAATGCTAATAATGCTAATGCTGCACTTGAGGCTGAATCGGGAGAACCCGCTGGGTATGGAAGTAAGCCTAGTTCAGCACTATCGCATAAACCGGGCCGTCCTGGTAACAATAATGATGATGACACATTCACTATCTCTGGTGTACTGTCATATTTCAAGCCGGCAATAAATGCCATGAGTTGGTTAGCTGCTATTAACCCACTAAGTTTTGGCATTGTATCATTTCTTTTAACACCGCTGGCATTAATTGTAGCTGGGTATTCAGGCATGGCAGCACTGCTTGCTCCTTTGGGAATTAATTTGGGCAGAGAGGCTCCTAAAGTAGTTCATGTCTACAGGCCTCATTGGGAATGGGACCACCACCACAAAACTTGGCAACTGAACTCCTTCCCTAATAATAGAAGATGGAAGCCGAGATTGCCAAGATTTAACAAAGAAAACAATGATATTGATAATAGTAATTCTATAAAGCCTACTTTATTTTTTAAAATAAAACAGTTTATGAAGGAAATAACAAGTAAATTAAAAGATCAGGAGAAAAGACGAAATAGTAATCAAAATAGGAGAAGTAGAAGTAGGAAAAGGGAAATATGGACAAGTACAATAAAGTAGTATTAAAATAATACATCTTAAGTATAGGAAATGCTTCATTGTCGTGTAAAGGACTGTGGGTATTATAAAGATGTATTGTGCGAGTAAAAAGCGGAAAAGCAATACATGGACAAGTACAACCAAGTACTAATAAAATTATACATGTAGCGTACGAAAATGCTTAATTTGACTCAAATCGCCCTGCAAAGGTCAGTAGGTGTTCTAAAAATGCATTTTGTGACAAGTGAACAGTACATTGTTAGTTTTAACTGTGCTATTCAATATCGAGCATTAGGTATTGAGTTACAAAATCAATGACTATGTTAAATTATGTATATGTTTAGTGGAGAGTTAAGAACAAATTAGCCTGGTATTGTCTATTGTATTTAGAAATTTTTAAGAATTTAATATTGTCTGAGCTCTAAGTTCTGTTCTTTTATAAACTTTTATTTGTTTTTTTAATAAATATATAATTTTAAACTTTTTATAGCATAACAATTGCACCTTATTGCCTTAATTTATTCTTTTAGATTTAAAAAAAATTATATTATATTTTGTCGTGCTTAATTTTGTAAATAGTCACAGTTATATCAATTTACGTTACTAACTTAAAGCTTCATTATTTATTGTTAGTTAATCCGAACCAAATTAAATACATACATACAACTAAGGTGTTTCATTTTCCTTACATTCATTAAATTTAATTTGTTAAGTTTAAAATAAAGATTTTAATTGATACTAATACGGCACGTTGAAAGAAATACCGCCATTAAACGAAAATTTCTCGTTTTTAAAATTAACCTAGTAAGTGAAAATATTCAGAAACTTTAATGACCATTTCTCAAAAGTTAACGTTTTATTTTAGTTGCGATATTAATTTAAACGTGCTATAATTATATATATTTAATTCGACTTTGTATCAGTGAATTTACTCACAAGTATAGAAAGTTTGTGGTTTTTTAAGCACATTTAAAATTTATTTGTCCATTTTAAAGCTTTACATGTTTTTAATTTTACGTTACAGGAGTTCGAGTTCAAAGATAGACGATGTTACGATAAAGATTGAAGAAATCACAAGTGCTGCTCCAGCAACACCAAATGCACCAAGAAACGTTAAGACAAAGAGTCCAGTCATTCGTGAATCAATCAAAATGGTGACAAATCAACTTCTGCAGAATCCATCAAATACTACTCTCGAAACACCTATCGTTGCTGACACTAGAATACCACCAAAGTTAAAAAACCAAATCCTCAAACACAAGACAAGAAACGAAGATGGAGAGAAACCTATAGAAAATGCTCATCCTGGAATTGCTGTACCTGTTACAATGGAAGAACTAGAAAAGGAAAATAAAGTCAGTGAATCTTCTACCTCCAATGAAGGCATTTCTACTTGGATTTTATTAAGTAATCCGTCAGGCAAAGATAATATTACATCCACAGAACCTACTAAAGCAGAAGAGCCACCAAAGAAACAAAAGCCAGCAAATCCTTCGAAAAATAAGACTAAGAGACCACAAACTAACAAAGTAAGTTCCGGGAAACGTCCAATCATTGGTAGCACAAATAAATCTGATCTTGTTGCGGGAGGTTCAGCAATAAATGAAAATGTTTTCAACAAAATTAAGGACACAGTACTGTCTAACGTGCAGAAAAATAAAAACACTTCAACTCAGAAGACGACAGTCACAACCACAACCACAACAACTACTACAGTTTCTCCTTCAACAGAAGCTTTAACTACTAAAAAAGAGCCAACTACCAAAGCACCAAGTTCAGTGGTTCAAGTAAAAGTCACATCCAAGCCTTCAAAGAAAAAGAATAAAAATAAACATAAAAGTACAACTCCTGCACCAATCATTTCAGACAGTGAATCCGCACTTCTTCCCATGGAACCTAAAGAGCAAGAAATTGAACTTGAAATTAGTACCCCACCAACAACTACAAAGAAACCAAAACGCGTGTCAACTAGAAAAAAGAACAAGACTAAGAAGCGTAAGACTTCAAAGCCCAAACCAGAAACTTCAACGGCTGTCAGTGACGTAAAGACTAGTAACAAAACTAAATCAACAAAAACTAAAAAACCATCTGCTACAAGTCTTACAGGACCAATTACGTCACAAATCTATAATTACTTCTCTAGAGAAGTTATGCCGACAGTCGGTGTAGGTGCTTTGGGTCTAGCCACTTTAGTTGGTTTAGCTGGGTATTTCTTATATCCTTTCGCCACTCCAGTAAGAAGAACATTTGAAGTTGATAAGAAAGATGACATTTACAGACACAATGCTGAAGAATACGCAAACGAAGGTAACGGACAAGCCGAAGAAGAAATGCTTGGAACAGTTCTAGCTGGAATGCCAGCGCACTCAAAACATAAACTTAACCCTTACGCTGGTCAAACTGCTCATGTAAACCGATACCCAGTAAAAAAAGAACAGGATATTAAATATCGCCACGTAGCTACTAAATACGAGCCTAATTATAATGTTCGTTACCCTCAACAAAAGACCGGAATAGCTCATGGAGCAGTATATGCTGAACCTATTAATTACAATCCGCATCAGTATGAGACAAGACATGTTTACACAACAGAGGGTAAATATGTCTATAATAAAGGACCAAGTGATTACACACCTTCTCCGGTTGAACCAATTTATGCCGCGCCTCAGACAGGGCCATCAAGTATTTCAGCTTATGGAAGTGAATCATCAAACTCCGTTGTTTACGGTGTAAAACCATCCTCTGATACAGATTTTAAGCCCGTATATCCCTTCGAGGGACAATTCTATTCTAGCGAAACAACAAGCAGCCCTATGACTTATCCTCCCACCTCCATGTATTTGGGTTCAAATAACGATGCTGATGAACAGAAATATTCTGAAGAACAAACATACTCCGACGAAACTAATTTAAGTTCGGGCGCCGATGACAACAAATTTGTAGTAGGAAATGTTCCCAAGGAATTGGTTGATACAGCTACTCCTGCTGTAGTTCCCGAACATGGTCCGAGGAATCTGAACAGAAGAAAGAGAAATTTAAATCGTCGTAAGCGCAGCATTTCGACGTCTATTGAAGAAATTTTGAAAGAAGCTAAAGAAAACAACAAGGACACTTTTATTAGCAACGAAATCGACGAATCCCTTGGTCTGCCAATAAGAAACCTGGCCCCTTTTGAGTCCAGGCCTGTAATAAATGACGCCACTGCCATGCCCGAAATGAAAGATGTATTCACGGTATATGGGGTGTTAACTGATTCTAAAGTAGATAAAACAACAGAAATACCTACTACTTCAAAGAGTGAGTTTATCGAAAGCGTTTCAACGATACCAATAGACTTTAATCGCCAAGGCAAAACAACGACAGAGCCTGACATACCTACCGAACTTGAAACAACAACGAAACCGTTTAGAGTATACGAAGTCTTCACTTCCAATAATCCAACTGACACAACTGACATAAGCAGTCCTTTGTTGAATCCTAAGGCCGACTATACGACTCAGTCCAAAACTATGAATACTGAGACAACTACTGAATTGAAATCTGAGACAACATCGACTATGCCACCATCTTTACCACCTGTTAATGTACCTGTATCTACGAGTATAACAACTCAAAAACCTACAAATAATCCTGAAGTAATAACTTATCCACCTTTAAATCAAGGTGGAGGATTTTTCACATTCCTAAAGCGTCTAATAGAATTCAAATATAGATTAGGCCTTAGTATTTTACAAACAACATCAGAAAATTTAAATAGATATTTGCGCAGTTTGGAAAATTCTGCTTCAAAAGTTGCAAACGCATCAAAAACGTAGATATAAATTTTTGGTTAAGTTGTTAGATACTCATATTTTTGAATTATTTATTCGCCTTATGCATATTTTTGAATATGAAAATAGTAATCAACACTTTTGTATTTCAATATGAATATTTAAAAATACAGCGATTCATCTATATTAGCTATTAAATATTTAGTACCTATTGTATTCTTTAAGGAATTATTAAAAATTGGTAAGAATAGTTTATATTTTCAGAATGTTATCCTCGGTTTTAAATAAAATACACTATTTCTGAGGAAAACCTACTGATTGTATAACAATGTGATAAAAAAGAATATGAGCCCTACTATTAAAACATTTGCGAAAAATTCATAAACTTGTACGAATTGAAAGTGTCATTAATTTTTCTATTTTTATACTGTATATACCTAATGCAATAAATGCTTATACGATAAGTTATTTGTGTTCTTTGACGAAACAATTGACAATATAATAATTTTCGGAGATTCATGACAATGCGTAAATAATATTGACGGGCAAAAAAGCAGACGCAAAAACATGACTACGAGGCATCTATCGAAATGTTCTAAAAGCTCGTTGATACATTCTCATCAAGTTGCGAAGTTACCCTAATAAATGCACGTGCAAGTTCTTGTCGGAAGCGATAGATGGCGTTATTTTAAATTATTCAATATTTTACTCAATTTAAAATGTACATATGTTCACTGTTTAACCGACTTAGAAAACGAGGAGGTTCTCAATTGGACAGTATTTTTTGTGTAATGTTACGCGTTTACTTCGACATTTGTGAACCGATTTCGATGATTCTTTTTTTATTGGGAAGGGGGTACCTCAATAGTAGTTCCGTTAACTAATTTGAATAAAACTTAGCAAATGGGTCATATTCATATAAAATGCACATTTGCAGGTAATTTTTGTCACAAACCTTTTTCGTGGTTAAAAATATAATTAAATACAATAATATTATTTTATATCGTTAATATTATATACTGCTGGTGTTTTTATATCAAAAACCATTAATTTATTCTAGAATTTTAATAAACTATAATAGTTTTTTGAACAATTAAAATTTTAACAATTTTACTTTCTATGAAATTTTAAATGTCACATTCCTCGGGTGTCGAACTCAACGGATCATTACAGCCGCCGGTTAGCAGAGCAATTCATGAAGTTGACATATTATGACTGTAAAATTAATATAGTTATTAGAATTTTAAGAAATAATTACATTTTGAAACAATGTTTAAAAAAATAAATTTATATTACTGTAACAGTTTTTTTCCGTTTCGTAACATTTCGTTACGCAAATCGAACGTTACAGATTCATTAAAAACAAATAATAATCAATTATAATGTAGGCATAATTGTTCTATCAACGAATGGATCATGGACATATACCTATTTTAAAACGTCAGCTGTGAATTTGATCGCACCTCAATTTCAGGTACATTATAATTTTCGGTTTAGTCACGAAATTTCAGTAATTACGGTAAGAAACCTATCAAATTATTTCAATATTTCTTTGTTTTTATAAAGTACAGTTAAAATTACGTAGTAAGGCTTCATTGGATCACGTTTGCGAGCGTTTATTCAAAGAGCTAAGTTATATTTTCTTGGTTTTTTATTGTCGGTTTAGTAACGTTTCGTTGCGTAACGATACGGAAAAGGCTGTGATCACATTGAGCTCTTTCTAACCATAGAAAATTATGTACTTATTTGTTACTGTTCAAATGCTATATAATCCACGACATCCGTAGTCGAGTGGCTTGCACATCGGTTTTCATGGTTTCCCACGTCTGTGCCCCCGGGTACAATCCCCGGCAGAGTTAATGCAAAAAAACTAACTTTTCTATATTGTATCGGGACTAGATGTTTATCGTACTGTCATTGTTTTCGATTTCCATAACACAAATGCTTAAAAGTTACTTACTTTGGAATCAGAGGAAAGAAAGACCAAGAGATACAAAGACAGAAATGGAGTTACGAAAAAAGAAGTAAAAGTAATGTAAGCCTACAAGAGATAGTAAATTTAAATGGAAATCCTGCATATATTTAACTAGTGCTGGAAAACAAAAGACTAAAAAAATGTATTCTGATTTTTAATATAAACGAACGAAGGCTGAGACAACAAAATTATCGGTTGAAAATAAAAACCTTGACAAGTTTTCTATTATGCCTAGAAAAAAAATTAAATTACGTTGAATCAGCTTATATTGCGAATAAAGACTCACTAAATATTATTATTTGTTTTTATGTCTTACATTATGTGGACTTTTACTATCAATGATTATTTCCTCGCCACGTCGTCGTGGAGTGAAAGGGAAAGAATATTATCGGTTATTTTTTATTAAATTAAGTTAGTTTAACTTCTCAACTGTGCCCAAGCCCTTATGTTCTGTTTCGTTATTTTCATTACTTTCCGTTTCGTTTCTGTTTAGTTAAATGTACAATTTAAATGAATATGAACCAAATAGATGTAACAAACACAGCGAAAGCGTATAAGCAAACTTTTGAGAACGTTTGTCTTATTACAAAAAATATATATTTATTGTTTAATTTTTACAATATAAAGTATATTGTAATTGTGGTGGTGAAGTTTAAATATAAATTTGCGAAATGTTAGTCCAATCCCAAAATCTCAGTAATTTGTACATAGAAATAGGCAGCGATTTCTAACATGTTTAGTTACGAATAATTTGTATTAATGACAGAATGTCTATATTATATTATATATATTTATGTATCTGTGTATGACTGGATGGCTGGCCGACTGGTGGATTCACTGACGTAGAATAACATATATTGATAGGCTGATTGTGTCAGATCTGTCTGCGACTTAAGGACTATCCACACACATCAGGGCCGTGCCCGGGACGTAGACGGGGCGTGCTAGTTTGTATGAACTGCGGGCCCGTCCCGGCGCCGGTCCGGACACGGATATGTGTTAACGAGTTCATGCATAATATACGCAACGATATTTTTTTGAGCCCCTGACGGAGCACGGCCCGGATATGTCTGGGTAGATATTTAACCATACTGCTATAATATATAGACTTAGAACCTCTTGTTTTTTTCTCAATAATATGATTGCCAAAAATGTTTTTGACGTCGTAATGCATTGTTGCATATTATTAAGGCGAAGTATTTCAACGCGAGTCTAGATTTTAGAAGGTGAGGGTCGGTGTAGCGGGGCGACTCTCGCGTCCCGCAATACGCGCGCTTTAAATTAATATGAATAAAATAAGAACATACATAGAAAATTTGACACAGATCCGTTGTGGACAAGCGCCAGATGGCCACTAACCGTCGTCGTCGTCAAGTCAAAGTCATTTATTCCATAGGTAAAGTTTTTACACTTGAAATCGTCATTTTTAAGCTACTTCTTAAGCTATTGCTCGTTCACTGCGCTGACATCCCTGAGAAGAACGAGCAAGAAACTCTAGGGATTGCTCTTTTCAAATAAACTTAAATGCTATGGAATACACTTCGAATCATAAATTGTGTGGAATCTAGACTTTTGTTGTCTTTCCAGACCTCTATCTAAAACATACTATTCAGTTTTGTAATAACTATTTTCAATTAAAATACTTTTAATGTAAATTTTAAACTTAGGAAATGATAACATTATTATGTTTTCCGGAATCTAATTGTAAAAATGTATACAGTTCCTCATAAAAGAATCGTTTACCTTAGTTAAACGAAGTCGTAGTACTATGAGTGAAACGTGAAACCGTGGGGCAATTTTGGGATCAACGTGAATAGGGCTACAAAATTTAGCAGGTCTTCTGTAGTACTTAAAGAGAAATATCTCCATATAAAAATTACGTACAAAGTTAGGAAATTTATTCTTAAATAATTCATTTTAGACTTTTATTTTCGCCTGTTTTCAGGATTTTATATGAAACATCTTATTGTGTAACACATACATTATTTAAACATTATCCTTAGGTGTATTGTATACTTTTTGTAAGACCGTAGTTTAATAGTAAGCAACGGTTAGCAAAACAGTTTTTCCTGCTTTTCCTCGGGTCTTGTTAAATAAATTTACATAACATATGTAATAAATCAGATGTCTTCCGTGTCTTACAACTTAAACGTTTGTAATTCATTTGTACATTTTCTCACCATCACGTCTATGAGTGCAGTTAATTCTTTTTTACCTTTTTACTTTTTACCTATTTGACCAAAAATCAGGAATAGAATCTCAGCCCGACCCACTCAACCTTTTATAACACCTCCGATAAAGGTAGCTCCACTATCGCCACCCGCGCTACAATATCTTTTCTGTTTCTCGATTTCAGATACAATCTTTTACGTAATATTAAACTAACAAACTAACTAAATAACTATTTAAATAAATAACATATTTAATACATTACTAAAATACAAAACAAACACTTCAAAAAAATTCTTTAAACAAATCACTTTCTCGTTTCTTAGTTCCACTATATAAGATAGATAAGATACATTTATTTCAATATAACTTAATCTAATATAATATAAGTAAAACAAATGCAAATAAAACTATTATAGTATTAAAATAATAATTAAGAAGGGAATCTAAATTATACATTCTTCATAGTAAAGCTATACATTTTGATGTTAGCATCTAGATGTATAATTGTTTGTTATAATTTTCTTTATATTACTTAAAAAGAGATTTTCTATATTTAACAATAAAATGTTTAACGGTTATAAATTAATGGTTACCTATATAAAACAACAAATTTTAATTATGAAACAACTTCCAGCTTCCACTGACAACACCTGATATTGTATTCTTAGTAAATCTGTCTTGCGCAGATTTTGAAATAGGCACTTAATAGACTTCGCTTGACCAAATCTGTACCCAAAGTCAAGTCACGTCTGACTTTTCAGTCGGGTCGTGTGTTACCCCTTTTAGTTTCACGTAAAGTGACACATCCTAACCGCTGGGTTAAAGGGTTATTATTTAGGGGTACTGCGGTAAGTTTCGGTTAAGTAATTCAGTTTGGTAAAGTATTCGACTTTGGACTGACTGTCTAGTAAAATAAAAAAGCTTTGTACCTTTAGGATGTTTTTTATGGGATTTTATATGATTGTATAAGTGTATCCTTTAGACAATAACCTTAGGTGTATCGTAATTTTGTTGTAAGACCGTCGTCTAATAGTATGCCCTCGTCTTCCTTTGTCAAAGAAA